TTGCCTGCCATGTGCATGGGAACCCCCCCTTTTTTTAAAAAAAAAATCCGGATTCAGCTGGGCTAGAAGTTCTTTACAAGCAGCTCTGCCCGCAAAGGAAGCCACAGCCCTTATCCTCATTGAGGCCAGCTGGTTTTTGTTTTGTTTTTCCTTGCTGATCCTTGATGTGTTGAGGAGGGTTGCTTCTTTACACATAGGAGTCCTTTTGGTTTGGATCATAGACCAGGAGGTGCTGGAATCTACAGATGGAGCAAAAATGCAGCGAGTCGACCTGAAGGAGGGGAATGCGTCTAGTTCACTCTCTTGCAGCCAGTATATTAATCTACCAAATGTGGGATTAGTTAATACTTTGTAAATAATGCGATGCAAATTAAGAGGAGCAAATGGCCTCTTGATATAGAACTAGGCAGCCAGCCCAATGGGGATGGGCAATCTTTGGCTCTCCAGATGTTGCTAAACTGCAACTTAGCAGTCTTAACTGGTAATGCAAGGAGAGCGTAATGCTGGATGTTCTAATTCGGCAAGGTCTAGAGGCCCACAGAGCATCCAGGTTAGCACTCCTGTCATGCAAGATGACTTGCAGCTGGCTCAATACCATGGTGGGATATTTCAGGAGGAAAGAGGAGTATAGAATGAGTGGGTAAAAGAGTTGAACAAGTGAGCCAAGAAAAGCCAGCAGAGATGGGACTGGTAAGGATTAGTAAGGGCAACTGAAATGAAAGGATGGGATCTCTCAGGTCATATGTATGTTGAGATGGTAGATCCGCCTGATGTGTTTCACAGTACATGTTTATAGAGAGAGGGGAAACCTTTCAGTCTGGACACAAAGTAAACGAGGTTTGCCACTAAACTCCAGAAGTTCTGACGATGTGATAGCATGAGTCCATGAGATATAATTTGCTTATATTTACACATTTTTCCAGGCGCACACAAACCATCTCTCTACATTTAAAATTCAGAATATACACCTCTGGCTCTCCTGGTGTTGCTGAACTACAACTTCCACATGTCCCAGTATTGTCCATGCTGACTGGAAGATGTAGATCAGGGGTCCCCAAACTTGGCAACTTTAAGACTTGTGGACGTCAACTCCCAGAATTCTCCAGTCATGCTGGCTGGAGAATTCTGGGAATTGACATCCACAAGTCTTAAAGTTGCCAAGTTTGAAGACCTCTGATCAACTATGTATTCCTGCCCTTGTTAAGACTTCTGTCAATGGCCACGGTATCAGAGGCTAATGGGCAATAAGGTTCAGCCACCTGGTCACAGGTTTCAACCTTTGTCATACTTAAATGTTCCAGTCTTGTTATTTTGATTATACAAGCATGGTGCACAAGTCCCAAAAGTACTTTTTCAGAAAGCAACTGGGCTTTGTTTTTTCTTGTTTGTAAATGTGTTTTTATTTTCCATTTTCATTTCGTACAGTCACATATATACTGTCCATAACCGGGGCCATATAACATTAAACAATAAACACAGCCATTCCTCTTGTCAACAATCCCCCTCAAAATAGAAACCCAATGTACCACTTCGACCCTCCATACACCCTTTCTTTCGCCCCCCTCCAACTTTCCATCTTCCTGGACCCGGCCAGTCTTGACTGGATCTTGAAAACTTCCCGACAATCCAGCTCTTGGGTTGCCTCCCTCGCCTGGCCTTCTTTTGAGGGCCAGCCTCTCTTCTGGCTTATGGTTCTTCGGAGAGGTCAAGGCAACCTGCTTCCGAAGGATGAGCTGCAGATGAGATTCCCCTGAAACCAGTC